TGAGTGCTCTTCCAAAATATGTGCATGTGCCAATGCGTGCTAAAGCAGAGACTGAAAAGTAATATCCGTGGACCTGTGCCTGCACAGAGCAATGCCTTATGCTCTGAATAAGGGGATAAAGGAAGGCACAAGCTTGCCACCGCTTATTCCTTCTCAACCACGGGATGGCTCGAGACCGCATCTTCTGCTGTTAGCTGTATTCAGTTTCCTCCTTTCCTGCCTCAGTACTGGTCTCTTACCTCCTCTCTGAAGTGAGACAAGACCCTACAGCTCCTCAATACTGCAGCAGTCTCCATCCCACCAGTCAACATTTCCACTTCCAGGACCAACCCAAGCCTCAATCTTAGGTTATCAAAACCCTCTGCTGCCTCCTAGATTTCTGTCTTCAGAGGATCTTGTTTCTGATTAGCCTGAGTCTCCACTGTTACAGAGATCTATCAGAGCTCACTCACCAGTACCATCCAGACAGTTACAAGTTGAAACTTATACATAAGTCTTCAACCTTTGGTACTGACCATGATACCTGAGCGCCCCTCTTCCTCCTCCCCCCATCTTAGCACAGGAGATGATTTATCAGACTTGAAGATCTTGGTACACAAATCCCTCCTGGTACTGTACCACGAAACTCCCATGAGTCCCTCTAATGAAGGGGACTTACCAAACATTGTAGGCCCAGATAGTATGACCTTTCCCCTAGTCTCCTCAGTGAGGTTACTGGGACCCTTGGGGCCATTCCAGCGATCAGTTCTACAGGATGCCAAGAAAGGACTACCAGCACCAACTGGTACTGTACCATTCATGGATACCAACTGACCATCTTCCATTAGTGCACACTTCTTCAGTACCAGATGATACACAAGAGAAACAAGAACTTCAGCTCAAGGAGATCTTACATCCTTCAGCCAGGTCCTCTTCATCCCCAGATAAGGGGGTAATGCCACCAATGCCCTCCAGTGCTGATGATTTCAAGACCTTCGAGGACATCATGAAGCAGTTGGTAAGCTCTCTCCACTAGAAGAAATCCAAGAGTCACAACTCTCCTTGGTGGATATTTTGAATATTGATCCACAAGGGAAGATTGCTCTGTTAATGAGGCATTGCTAGCTCCCGCACATACACTGTAGCAAACACCAGCTACAGTTCTACTCACCTGTAAAAGGTCAGGCAAGAAGTACTACATCCCACCAAAAAGAATGTAAGACTTCTTTTCCCACCCCAGCCCTAATTCTTTAGTGGTGAAGGTAGCCAACAAAAGAAGCCATCAAGCTCTCTCTACTCGTCCAATGAACAAGGAATCCAGGTGGCTGGACTTACTGGGCGGAACAAGCTACTTGTCAGCTGTTCTTCAATTTCGTATTGCCAACTATAAGGCCTTGATGGCAAAATATAACTTTACCACATACTCAAAATTTATACATTTTATTTACCACCTCCCACAAGTCCAAAGAAAGCAATTTTAGCCCATCTTGTATGGGCAGTTAATTTCAAAAAGCTCCCTCCAAGCTGCCCTAGATGCCATCAACACAGCCTCCAGGTACATTGCCACAGCTGTGATCATGAGTGTGTCCTGGCTCAAGTTCTCTGGTCTTCCCAGAGAGGTGCTTGAAGGATCCAAGCTCTTCAGTGAGTATACGGAGTCCTCTCTACACACACTCAAGGATTCCAGGGCAACATTGTGGTCACTAGGGATTTACATGCCTGCAACGAAAAGACAGACAGTTTTGTAGAACCCAAACTGCTCAAAGTTCCAGGCCATTCCAGTACCATCATTACTTCTTCTCTAAACTCCATGAATTATTCAAGAGAGGAGCCAAACAGGAAAAAAGGGGATCAACCACCCATACATCTACTTAATCGGCCCCTCCTTCTAAGGGCTTGTCTTCACTACGGCGCTAAATTGGTGCCACTGCCATCAAGGCCCTTGCATCTGTTTTTGGTTCCTCTCTGGAACATATGATTCGGTGATGGCCTTCACACTTATCTTTTAACACACACATTTCTCATTCATACACAAAACAGAATTGATTTGAACAGGAACATCAAGTTGCAATGCAAAAGAAAAACAATCATTGCATTCTTTTACTTATTTTAAATGCTAAACTTACAACGAAGTGGTGACCCTAAAAGGTCTGTTACTGCCTTGAAATCCGCCCCTACACGGATTCTGGCAGATGCATCTCTACCAATGGCACAGTAGACCATTCCTTTCTGCTATTCAAAAAGGGTGGTTGGCAGGATATGGTCAAATCATACATTAATGCATTTAATACATGCTCCTTATCTTATTATTCTTTATCCTTCGTTCTAAATTATACAAAATACAAACATAAAATCCTACTACTACACATCCAACTATAAGAGAAGAGATTGAAACAGAGATCTTTTCTATTTCACTGTCCAACATACCCAGAAGAGTGAGAGACAGACTTGTTCTAATTACCAGAAAAGATTTTCTATAAAAAAGCAAGGAAGAAAAAGCACTCATTGCCTGGGGAGGGGAAGGAAAAAAAGAACAGTGTGTCATTCTCTATAGCAACCTACCACCAAATTTGAAATATACAAAGGAACAAATAAACGATCCAGCACACTGTGAATCCATCTCCTGAGCAGGTGCTTGATATAATAATTATATACCCAATTTACTGGGGGGCAGGGAATCATGTTTATTATAGCTTGCAGGGGGAGAATATGATTCTTTGTTTCTTTCTAGTGCCTGGTCAACAAATTAGCTTAACAAATCTGCCACAGCTGCTAGCTGCAGGAGTTAGGCACTCATCCTGCAGCTACTTCAGTTCAGAAGTAACTATATAAATGAGTTAGAAGACAGTTTATTGGACTGGGACTCAGGAGACTTGGATTCTAGTCCTGGCTCTGCTGGACTGCTAGGTGACCTTGGGTGAGTCACTTTACCTCTTTCTGTCTGTTTCCCTATTTGTAAAATGGGGGTAATGATACCTATCTCTTTTGTAACATGCTTTGAGATCTACTGATCAAAAGCACCATGTAAGAGATGAGCACTATTGTTTAATGTTTGCCAGTCCCATTGACTTCTAGGTAGAACTATGTTTGCATGTAAACATAAGTGCATAAGCGTTTACTGGAGCAGGCCCTTTGTTCACAGGGTAGCAGTATGTGCTTTAAAATTCCACAGTTAGCCCAAGTGGGGTGGTTTATCCTAATATGCCCTCATATAACCAATATGGGGACAGTCTCCAGCTTGCTTTCTCCCTCTAGATGTGTTTCCTCATTTGTCCTCCCCTCCACTTTTATGGCTTTAGTGTGTTTTGCTCCTTGGAGCAAGGGTCATTCCTTCTTTTCTGTTTGGGTAACACCTAATACTTATTTGTATTGTAGTGCCTAGGAGTCCCAGTCATGGATCAGGACCCCACTTGGCTACATGCCGTACAAACACAGAACAAAAAGATGGTCCCTGCCCCAAATAACTTACAATCTAAGTATAAGGCAAGAGACAACAGCTGGATATAGACAGAGAAGTACAAGGAAACATTAAGACAACATTGATCCCTCCAATGGGCAGTGGTTGCAGCACACCAGCAGCCTAACCATTGTCCAGTTTTTTGTAGGCATCGCAGCAAAGGAGAGGTTTTTAGGTGAAATTTGAAGGAGAACAATGAAGGGGCTTGGCAAATGTTTGCAGGGTGTGCCTCCCAAATGTGAGAGGCAGCATCGGAGAAAGTATGAAGGTGCTTGTCTGAAAATTTAATAAGTGGACAAGCTGCTATGATGGGCCAAGTGAAGGTGGGAGTTGACTTTTGTTTACTGAATAAGAGGTGGGCTTTGAAAGTGAAAATGTAGCTTACATATTTGATACAACCAATGAGGGAGCCAGTGGAGGGGTGCAAAGAGGGGAAACATGGTCAAAGTGAGGGGCTAGGAAAATGATTTTTGCAGCAGCATGCAAATCGATGTGAATGGGATAAGACTGCATTTGTCAAAGCCAGAGAAAAATATGGAGGACTGAGATGATGAGAACCTGGATGAGAGTTTCTGGTGTGGGTGGATAGGAAAGGCTATATTCCAGAGATGTTCTAGAGAAAGAAGCTGCAGAACTTTGCTATAGCCGAGTTGTGAAAACCTAGAACGAGGTCTGAGGCCAAGAAGATACCCAGGCTATTGACTTAAGTGACAGTCAAGATACTAGTGTTGCTCAGAGTGATCAAGGGAAGGAGATAGCAGGGAGAGCTTGGGTTGGGGGGTCGCTGTTTTAGCTTTGTAGAGCTTGAGCTGAGGGGTAGATGTCAGGAGGAAGGTATCAAACAGCCTGGTTGAGATTTGTTTGGACCGGAGCCAGGTTGGAGTAGAGATCTCATTCACCCACCTAGAGATGGTAGTTGAATTTGTGGATGAGATTACCCACAGGTAAGGTAAGGGTGGGGAGGATCATGACGACCAAGGACAGAGCCCTGTAGCTCCTCCCTGCAAGTGGAGGGGGACAATGGGGGTCCCCCTCAAGGAATGAGTAGAGCGGTAGGAGAGGGAGGAGAAGAGGGAGTCGTCACAGGGGGACATGGGGCCGGACTCTGCCCAGGGAAGGTACTGGAATTACCCTGGGTATTCCCGGGGGGGTTGGGGAAGCTCCTCCAGCTTGGCGTGGGCCTAGTGACGAGCCGAGGGCAGCCCCGGAGTGCAGCCGCGCTCCTGTACAAGCCGCAAGGAAAGTTACCGATGACTCACTATCTAAAACTCGTTTCAGAGTAGCAGCCGTGTTAGTCTGTGTTCGCAAAAAGAAAAGGAGTACTTGTGGCACCTTAGAGACGAACCAGTTTATTTGAGCATAAGCTTTCGTGAGCTACAGCTCACGCTCAAATAAACTGGTTCGTCTCTAAGGAGCCACAAGCCCTCCTTTTCTTTTTATCTAAAACGCATGTCGCCGGGGAGAGGGCCCCTCAGCACAGGTCACGGCGCGCAGGCACCCCGGGGCGGGCACAGGAGACGTGACGGGGACTTCAGCGCTGGGCGGGGTTTCCCCGAAGCGCAGGGCGGGGAGTCCAGGAGGCGGCGCGGCCGGGGCGCTGCCGGATTCGCGCTTTTCCCCCGGCGGCGGAGGGACGTTCCTGTGCCCTGGTGGCCCGCGGGCGCCGCAGCCCGGCCTTTGGGTTTCGTTTGGCCGCAGCTCGGGCTGCCGGAGCCCGCCCCGCCTGCTATGGACAACGGCGCCGTGTACAACCAGACCACCGAGCTGCAGCGCGAGCCGCAGAGCAAGCCCTGCGCCTGCGCCTGCACCCTCCACCGGCTCACCCCGCAGCGCCTGCTGCTCAAAGCGGCGCAAGCGGTGAGTGAGCCCCGGCCTCGCGGGCCTACCCGGGGCGGGGGGACGCGCGGCGCGGGACGCGCTGGGGCTCCGGGCGGCGAGAAACTCGGTGTGTCGCGGCCCTGCCGGGCTGGTCCCGGGCGGCTCGAGCCCCTCGCTGGGTTCTTCTGGCCCGGAGCCGCGCGCCCGCGCCTGCCCGCCCCGCTGCAAGCGCGCCCAGCCCGTGGGGGTGCGAGGTGTGGCCCCGCTCTGGTCCCGGACGTGGCCCTGTTTATCGCTCGCGCCAGGCAGGGCTGGGGTGCGGCGGAGCGCAGCGCAGCGCAACGGGGTTGCCTGTTGCTCTGGTGAAACCAGACAGCAGCTCCGGGTGCTCTGGGGAAGTGTTGGGGGCCTGTAGAAACGCTTGGCGCTGCCCTAGCGCAGGGGGCTGGACTGGTCCTTCTTAGCCCTGCATTTCTGTGGGTCCTCTGCCCCCTTGCTGTTGTCCCTGCATTTACCTGGGACCCTGCCCTCTGCTTTGGCACGGCTGGCTTTGGAGTAGAGGGTGGTGTGCTGTGTGCAATAGGGTTGACGCGTTTGTTGACCATACAGTGCAGGGTCACAAAGCAAAAAAGGGGTTAACAGACATTAATTACCTCAGCCATCTTGGTTCATTAGTCTCTTTTATTAGGCCAGCTTCTGCTGGTGAGAGGGCAGCTTTCGAGCTTACACTGAGCTCTTCTTCAGGTCTCTGAAGTGAAAAGAGGAGCTGTGTAAGCTCAAAAGCCGGTCTCTCACCAGTGGAGATTGGGTCTAATAAAATATATCCCTGCACCCACCATCTCTCTCTAATATCCTGAGACCAAGAGGCTACACCAACACTGCATACAACATTAATTAATATTTCTTAACCTGTTGTCTTGCACAATGTCACTTTCCCCCTCCCCATTTACAGTCTTCCTTCTTTCCACACCACTCCCCTGCTCTTTGTTGTTCCTGTCTTGACACCATTCTCCCTTTGTACTTGGACGTGAATGCTCAACTAGATTAGTAGATTTTCAAAAAATCACTTGTTTCAAGTCCACTAAAAAGAAAACTTTATGGTGCTTTTATTTATTTGGATGTTGATATAAATCTGCTTCATGTTAGAGCCATAGAAATCCTGGCTATTGTGTTAAGTTTATAATTCTCTGTTATAAACTAAGCTGTCTACATAAAAAGAGGACAAAATTGAGTACAACAAAAAAGAATGTTTCCAGCTGCCCCTTGGTTGTGTTGCATGTGTTTTATTTGGCAATGAATACTGTTGCTATAAGTATGAAGTTGTAAATGTAGTTGTTACTGTGTAAATTTCATGTTTTTCCTTTTTCATTAGTGAGTTTTCTGTGTTTTTTTCTGTCTGCAGTCTTTTACTGCCTCTTTTGATTTCCATTTTGTAGGCTATATCTATCATTGCACAAAATATCAGGTGGCATATAAAAATGACCAATAACATGTTAAGACAAAACCTTACTCTAACAAAAACAAATCTTAAAAATAATATCCTAGACTCCTAACCAAAATAGAAGTTAGTACAGATACTACTTCTTTTAAATGTAGACACAGAGCCACCATTTACTTCAGTCAGAGAATTTAGCTTGATATAAAAAGTCTTAACTGAATTTAAAAAGTTAAAACAATAGTCTAAATCAAATGGCAAATCTATAACTCCTGGTCATATTAAATAGAACACTTTCAACTTTTAAAGGCCAGTATATTGGTGAACTGGCATTGCGATTGTAATATCGGTTCTGCAGACTCAAACTATTATTACTGTGGAGGCATCTTCACAGAACCAGTATGGCACATCTATTTGGACAGTACAGTCACAGACACTGACTGTTTAGAAGTTTGTGCTATATTTAGCAAGTGATTTCAATTGGTTTTGTAGGTTCAAATAATAAGCAGGATCCAGAGCACGCAGTCCACTGTGGCATTCTATTTGTGGTCTTAGCATTTGAACTTAAAATTAAACTGGTCTGAACTTATGTGAAGGCCTTAACGTTCTGTACCAGAGGCTCCATTCCATTAATATAGGTGGTAGAAAATCTTGGTTGACCCTCATTATATTGTGGTGAGCTACTGTAGTGGGGTTGGAGTGTTACATAGTGGATCACTTTAAGTCAAAAGAATCCTAAGTCTTCAAAAGGAAGGAATCCTCTTCTGCTGGCTTTTTATGTGTATTTTGTGTAATCTTTTGCTCCTTATTCATAAATGTGGGAGGTCATAAATGATCTCTCTCAAATTTCTGGTTAATATATACAAAAATGAAAACAGAACAGCATGATTTGGCTTTAGGGAAGATAGTGAAACCTAAATGGGAACGGGACTCAACAATAAAATGTCAGTATCAGTTTTCCTGAAAGCTGAGTGGGTTTTAGGTCTGCAGTGTCATACTCACAAGAGTGTCAGGTGATTTCTGCCCTTGGTCATTAATCAGGCACTGCCAAAAAGAGGACCATAACATTTGAAAACATATGACAGTCATTTAAAAAAGAAAAAGAATATGCCAGGTAATGGTAAGGTAACACACAAAACTTCAGAAAGTTATGGTTTAAATTTATATTTAAACAATTCTCAAAGCCCTAAAGTGCTTTATATAAATATTTTTGAGGGTAAATTTGTTCTTTGATTTGTTTTTTTTTTTAATGATAAAACATTTACTGTTAGATAAAATGAACCTGGTGGGTATTACTGCCATGCAAACACTTTGCTCATATAAACAGTCCTGGTAATTTATATAGACTACTCGTGTGCCTTCATAGACAACTACAGGTGCATCCCTCTGGCAACAGCCTTTCTGGTTAGGGGGGAGAGGGAAATTGCTAGAACCATTCATAAGCAAAACAACACAAGAGAATGCTGGGCCCATGTGAGCACAAACTCAACAGTTCTTAAAGCTTTGGCAGTTTATGGCCTTACCTCGTCACTGTAGGGACACCAGAAGGGTAGGTAACCAAAGCCAGATTTCTCTTTAGCTCATCAGAGAGATACTTCTTTAATCTTTAGAGCCCTGCAAATGTGTGGATATCCACGGATGCGGATATTTGCGGACCATGTTTGTGGATTGAATGTGGATACAAATTTTTTATCTGCGCGGGGCTCTACCTTGCTTCTTTCTCTCCCAAAATGCACAAATCTTTGAGTTCTTGGCAGGGTGGATTTGATTTAAATCAAATTGATTTAAATCACTAGTCAGGCTCGATTTAATCCTGGATTTCTACATAAAAGTGCATTCTTGTTGATTGTTATAACCTTAATAGTATTCTTCACAACTCAGATAGATGAGACCCCAACTGGGTCTCTTATGGTCTGCTGCCATTATAGGTTTTCCCTTCTAGTGAGAGAATGGTATGGTAGATCTCAAATCAATGAAGGCTACATCCAGAAAGACCTCAAGACTTCTGGAATATGCTGCTCAAACAGTTTCACTTTTGTTTCTATTGCCTGTCCCTCCCTTCTCACATTTATCTCCAGACTACTACTTTTCCAGATCTGTTCCGCCCCCAACAATCTTCTTGAACTTTTTGAAATGTTGCACTTTTAGAGAGAGGTAAGGATTGGCTCTGTGTACACAAATTTGCAGAGGGACAATAGGGCTGAGGTCTGTTATTTCTCACCTCTATATATTTATTTCTTTATTTAAAAACATTTTTGCTGTTAACAAGTATGTTATCTCTGGAGACACAAATCCACAGTTTGAGAACTGCAAAACTAAATAATTTCTGATTCTATCTTCTAGACCAGAGGTGGGCAAATTGAGGGAGTCTTGGGGTTCTACCCTGGTTCTTGGTCCAGACACACATTCAAAAATAAATCTTGTACATTACTGTGGTTGAAATTCAGGTAGCTTTCTATGAGTGACATGCCCTTGTCGAATGAAAGCGTATAAAGGCTTCAGTTTACTTAAAAATTATTTGTGAAATAGTTTTACTTGTTTTGGAAATCCAGGTAAGTAATATGAAAGAGAAAGTAAGAAATCCAGGTAATATGTTAGTGTAATCTCTGCAATCTGTTGTGTAGTAATGTGGTCTAATGGATAGCGCAATGGGAGTTAGCAGAAGTGAGTTCCAATCTTGGCTTTACCATTGACCTACTGTGTGGCATTGGGAAGGTCATATTACCTCTCTGTCTCTTATTCCCCTCCCACTCTTTTGTCTATGTTGTCTATTCAGCTCTTTGGGGTAGCAGCTGTCTCTCACTGTATTTTTTTTTACAGTAAATAGCACATTGGGGTGCTAGAGACTAGTGTCATACAGATAATATGCAAAACAGTGATTAAAACTGAGTACTGCAGTCTTAAAATTGCAAACTACCACTTTTCTAGGGTGCTTTTTAAATAGGGTGTTACATACAGCAAATCATCTGTGATTCCATTATATGTATGGTACAATATTCCCTAAAATACTGTAAAGCCAACTGCAGAGAACTACTTTCCACTTTTTAAGATCATGGCATGATATTCTCAATGGAGAGAACTCTCTACTTATGACTCATAGTTGTTAGAGATAAATAATGATAAGAGATGCTGACTGCTGAAGCCTCTTTTTGAAACCACTTTTGTGTATCACATAAAAATGTACCTGCCAAAGAACTTTGGTATTAAGTATTAACTTAAGTATTAACTTTGGCATTTGGTATTCAGAACTTTGAGTTTTGCATGGAGTTCTTTTAATTTTGGTTAATACAAAAGGAATTTAGTTTCAGTCCAAAACTGGTTCAAATTCTGTAGAAAGTTGGATCGGAGAAGGCACATTGTGCCAAGACCTAGGATTCTGAATTGATAACTAAAGCAATAATGTTTGTCATTTAAGTGGCGGATTTAAAAAGAAAAAGTATTGAATGCAGAAACCTTAGTGCATAACGCTAGACTGAAAAGGAAAGTTATAATTTAAGCTTAAAGATCTGCTCTTGCTTCTGAACTATTCATTCACTGCACAAACGCTGCTTTTAAAGACTTGTGAAATCAGCAGAATCCTTTGAATAGCAACCTTTGTATGTAA